CAGAAGTTCTGGCATATTCTTATGTTCTACTTTTTATATACCATGTAGTCTCCTAGCGCCTATAAAGAGTTTTCAGACCACTACCTCCAACACCCACATTCTTACATTTTCTTTCCCTCCCCTTCTCTGGCATCCCCCACACCCCCACGCTCCATATGTTCCTTTCTGTAATCTTCTCTGTTTTATGGTTCAAAATAGTGTATATTCGGAGCAAGTCATTTTTAATCCTTTACTTGAAAATATTCATTCATTCATGAAACATTTAAAGCATTGATAGGTTGAGAACAGTTCTAGGTGACTACATCTCATCTAATCCTTAACAACTCTATAATGTAGGAACATTATTTTAACTGCTTTTAAGGCTCATAAGGGTTGTGTAACTTGACCACAGTCACACAGTTTGTTTGGCAGAGCCTGGACAACAGCTGCCTGTTGAGTTCATATTATGTGCCAAATACTGTATAGAGCCCTCCGAGTAGTTGAAGGCATGAATATTAGAGGCCTGGAAGGTAACTCATCACATTTGCCCAGGCCTCTCTGCAAAGTCCATGGTCGTTCTGCTGTGCCATGCTAACCGTAAAAATGTGCCATGATACATGCCTTGATATTTCCGGTGTACGCAAGGTGCTCTGGGAATCCAGAAGCAAAGCAGACCTGAGAAGTGCACTGGGGCTTCGCAGAAGAGGTGGCATTTAAACTAGACCTTAAGAGGAGAGTTCTTCTGAAGAGAGAAATAAAGGAAGGCACTGTTGTCAGTGAGAAAGCACATCAAAGGCATGGAGGAATGGTACAGTTGTGTGGCAGGAACACTGTGGGCTGTTGTAGCATCCAGGGCTGGCAGGTGTGCACAGGTGGCTCCAGAGGGGCCTTGTGGATCGTGCTCTGGAATTTGAGTTCATTCTTTTGTCTAACGCCAAGTCGTCAGTGGGAAGTGGTGTGATCAGATTTTTGTTTTGGGTGTATAAACTTGGAATTGGGTGGGATAATTGAGGCAAGAACCTGACCCAGGACACGAAGGGGAATAAGAGGGTCCACGAGTAGAAGCCTTAAGAGGTGGGCATGTCTCATCAATTCATCTGCAGGGACTGCACATACCACTGCAAACCTTTTTTGTGGTGGCAAGGGTGGAGTGGGAATCAAACCATTTTATTGAGGGGCTTCAGGGAGAGGTCAAAGGGCTAGGAGTTCAGTGAGATCTGACATCCTCAGCCTGGCCAGGATTTCCTCAGCTTCATAGTCGCTGAAAACATTCCAAACCCTTTTTGTTTGTTTTTAAAGACAAGAACACACCTGAACTCATTTTCACAAACTTGATCTTACACTTAGTGTGAGTAGTAACCCAAACACTGTTTTTACTTGCGTGTAGTGTGTATATACTAATGTATGTGTAATTGTCTGTGTATACTATGGTATGTTATTCATGCAGTATTGAAATGTGCTTTCTTTTTTCTCACCTAAAATATCTTGGAGGTCATTTTTTGTCAGTAAACCTGGAGCTGCCTGATTCCTTTTGATACTACTCAGTAGTTCACTATATGGATGTGCCAAAATGTATTTAGAATACATAATGTATCATGATGGATATATTGTCATTACACATATTTTGCCATTACAAAAGATGCAGTGAGCATTCATATGTATATATTCATATACATATATAAATTTTTGTACATAGCCAAATTTCCAGAAATAAATTCTTAGAAGATTTGAAATTCTTTGAAATTGCTGAGTCAAATGGATTCATATGCAGTTGTTATTTTAATATTTTGCTAAATTACTCCCCATAACTGCCTGCTTTCCTATACCCTCATCAACACAGGACGTTGATGATAACTCATCTGAAAGGTAAAACTGGTATATGTTTGAGCCATTTGAATTTCCCTTGTTATCCTTTTTAAATTTTTCTCTTGAATTACTGACCTTAGTTAGCTGCAAGAGCTCTTGATATATTAAGGAAATTAGCCTTTTGTCCAGTATGAATTCCAGATATTTCTCCCCAGTGTTTGTCTTTCAGCATGTTTGTCTTTCAGCATGACTTTTGTTGATTATTACTATACATTTTTTTTTTTGTTGTTAAATTTTTCAGGGTTTGGGCAGGGAACTTCAGAATTTCATGTTATTCTTGGATAAGACTTCCCTTTTCCACGATTATTTTTAAAAAACTCTCCTATTGGGGTGCCTGGGTGGCACAGGCATTTGGGCATCCGACTTTTGATCTTGGCTCAGGTCATGATCTCATGGGTTTGTGAGTTTGAGCCCCCACATCAGACTCTACCCTAAGGGTGCAGAGCCTGCTTGGGATTCTGTCTCTCCTCTCTGCCCCTCCCCAGACTTGTGTGCTCTCGCGCTCTCTCTCTCTCTCTCTCTCAAAATAAAAACTTTTCAAAAATATTAAAAAATTAAAAACTCTCCCATTGTTTTCCTTTCAGAACTTGAATCGTCTGAATTTTTTTGTATTTAAATCCTCCAACTGTTTGGAATATATTTTGGGGTAAGGCATTAAGTATGGGTCAGACTTTTTTCCCAGTTGTCTCAGTATCACGCACTAAAAAAATTCATCTTTCCTCATTGATTTAAAATGCCATTAGGTAAGTTCTTCTGTGTGGATCTGATCTATTCAGGTAGATCATAAACTCTTAAAAAGCAGCAATCACATATTATCCTATCTTGTATCCCCCATAAAGCTGAACATAATGTTCTGCATAAAATAGGTGTGACAGGTTTTTTTTGCACTAAAAAGATCCTGAGTTATAGATAGTGGAAAGTATGCAAAACATTCATATACAACTCAATGACAATGTATAGTGAATACCACTGTAACCGCAACCTCAATCCCTGTACACCTGCCCCATTCACATTCCTCTTCCATCTTCCAGAGGCAACAACTCTCTTGACTTGTGACAATTATTTTCTTGTGTTTCTTTATAAGATTGAACCATATAAAATCACCATTGTTTGTAGATAAAGAGCTGTTGGATGTCTGCAATTTCATATTTCAACCTAGTAGTTTTACCACCTTTGTGTGGGTCTTTAGTTTAGTTGAGGCTGGTTTTGGATATGATTTAAATGTAATCTTACTGCTTTTGTTCTTTGCTATGCGTCTTTCACTTACTGTGATGTTGCGGTATCCAACCATGTTGTGGAGGGTTGTGGATTCTCAGTGCTAGATAGGACCCCTTGCACATTTTAGTTATCTATTGTTGCTGGATTCTAGTTTTCCAGTTTTGACTCTTGGAAACAGTGTTGCTCTGAAAATCCTTGTACCTGTGATTTGATGCGTATAACTAAGATTTCTTCTAGGACGAATCAGTAAAGTGGGGCCCAATGCCTAGTTTTTTAATTTTTTTAAAAGCTTTTGAGATAGTTTTACCTTCAAAGAAGAGTTGCAGAATTGGTACAGAGAGTTCCTGTATACCCTTTATCTAGCTGCCCCTAATGTAAACATCTTACATAGTTATGATACATTTAAACATGACATTAATGTTGATACAGTACTATTAACTGCAGACTTTGGATTTCATCAGTGTTTCCACTAATGTCCTTTTTCTGTTCTAGGACCAATGCAGGGCACCATGCTGCATTTAGTTGTCCTATTTTCTTTAGACATAAACTTGTCAACTACAGTGTAGTATTTGTGGAAAGTTCTTTTTGTTTTTAGCCTTGTAGTAGCCAGTCATAACTGCTTTCTAAAGCTGCTATTACATAGTCGTTTGGGTCTCATTTCTTTCACTGAGAAAAATTCATTTAAAATTCATCCGTGTTGTGTGCAGCAATAATTTGTTCTTTTTAAAAATACTTGTAGTGAGCTTCACATAACCTAAAACTAACCATTTTAAAGTAAGCAGTTCTGTGGCACTTAGTATAGTTACAGTGTGCAGCCACTGCCTCTGTCCAGTCCCCAAACACATTCATCGCCCCAAAACCAAGCCCCGCACTCACTCAGCAGTTACCCACACATCCTTCCCTCCTCCCAGCCTGCGGCAGCTGTCAGTCTGCTTTCTATTTCTGTGGCTTTACCCACCCTGGATAGTTCATATGCATAGGCTCATACAGTATGTGGCGCTTCTTTCACTGAGCATAATGTTTTTGAGTTTCATCCACATTGTAGCATGTGTCAGTCCTTCATTCCTTTCTTTTTTTAAATTGTGGTGAAATATATGCAACATAAAATTTGCCATTTTTGTACACAGTTTTTGAGCATACAGTTTAGTGGCATTAACTACACTCACAATATTGTACAGCCATCACTGCTACCCATTTCCGAAACTGTCTCATTCCCCTAAACAGAGACTCGGTACCCAGTAGGCAATTAAGTCCTCCTTCTCATCCCTCCCAGCCCCTGGGTACCTCTAATCTAATTTTTATCTCTATGAATTTGCCCATTCTAGCTATCTAATATAAGTGGAATTATGCAAGAGTTGTCGTTTTGCGTCTGGCTTACTTCACCCACCACAGTGTTTTCCAGGTTCATCCATGGTATAGCGTGTATCAGAACCTCGTTCCTTTTTGTGGGTGGGTAATATTCCATCATGTAGATACTCCACATTTTGTCTGTCTATTGATGGACATTGGTGTTGTTTTCACTTTCTGACTCTTGTGAATAATGCTGCTGTGAAATTGGCATCCAAGAATATGCTTGATTCATTATTTTTTATTCTTTTGTGTCTATCCCTTATAGTAGAGTGGCTTGCCTGCCCTGGTCTAGAACACACAGAGTGGTAAACTGAATTGCAGAGCGGTTACACCACAGTCTCAACAACACTTGATTTTACCAGATTCTTCCATTTTTGCCAATATGCCCTGTGTGTTATGGTGTTTCACTGTGATTTTAATTGGTATTAATGATTCCTAATGGAGTTGAACATTTTCACATGTTTATAAGCCACTCACATTTCCTGCTTTGTAATGTGCCCATTAATTTTCCTATTGGTGGTTTGACTTGCTAAATTAATGTTGATGACCTGATGCCTCCAAGTAACGTTTCCTCTGTGTTTCTGCAGAACAAATAGTGGAGAAAGATGAAGGTCCATATTATACTCACCTGGGATCTGGCCCCACGGTAGCCTCTATCCGGGAACTCATGGAGGAGCGGTGAGTGACGCACGAATGTCCAAGGAGAGTTGGGCAGGTTGTTAGTAGAGCATGGAATTGAAGCACCTCTCATTTTCATTGCCTTGTACCAGACCACATACAGAAAGGAAGCCAGGATATCGAGACTGTGGAGGGCTGCATATAGGATTCTCACCCACAGTGCTTCCGGGTTTCTCTCTCTGTCTGCTCTCTAGATCTTCCCTCCTCCTGCTTTTCTCTCTCTCTTGAAATATTTTTTTTTTACTGATGAAGTGTGGTTAAATAACTCTGTGTCCCATGGTGATTCCTGAGGTCTGAATTTTGCTGCTGGCTTCTCTGTGCTGTTGTTTATCATGTTCTTCTGTCCTATCTGTGGCCTATAAATTCAGTCAGCGCTAAAGACTTCATGAAAGTCACACCATTTCTTCGTTCTTTTTTTCCAAAACTGCCTTATAGGTAATATTTTGTACCTCCACTAAGAGGAATATACTGTCTCATCTTTGGCCAGTAGGTGCCTATTCAGTGTTTCCTGAGTCATTCTGGTGCCATCCCAGGAGTCTGTCATAGCTTTGTCGATTCCTCATATGACCATACAATCTGGGCTCATTCATATTCTGCATTTTTCCACAAAGTCCTGGTCCTTTGTACTGAGGGAAGAAGTATTCAGAAAACAAACTCTGGTATGAGGTGTGCTCATCATTTCTAGGCCGTTTCAGTAGAAAAAGCTAAGATGTATGTGTAAGTTTTTTATTTTTGTTCTTGATTAGTGGTTAAATACATCGCAAGTTCACGTTGACACTTAGAATTCAAACTCAAGACTACAGGGGTTTTATTTAACAGCCCAGTTTTGTTTTTCTAAGCAGTTTGTATAGCTAGATAGGAGTCCTGGTGTACAGAAAGGTAAAATAGCTTGTTGATTGAGAGCATGTGGACACAGAAGTTAGACTTAAGGTCTGATCCTGGCCCTGCCACTTCCTGCTGAACCCTTGGGTAAGTTGCTCTCCTGCCCTGTGACCCGGTTTTCTTACCTGCAAAATGGAGATAATGGTAAAAGTACATGTACGTTGTAGGAGAGGTAGGAAGATAACTGAATTGATGTCTGGAAAGCACTTAGTGCTTATAGGGAAGTACCGCAGAGAGGGTGTCTTATCTCCTATAGTACGTACTATTGAAATCTTACAGCAAGCATTAGTATAGCAAAGCCAAAGACTGTGCAGACATAAACATGTTTATACTCATACATATACATCATATACATACAGATGTTTGGAAGGCAGAGTGGCTTAGAGTTTCCTCAGATCTGGGAACCATATTTTGTCTGAGCAGGGGAGCCAAATGAATCCTGTCATCAGTCTATCAGGGAACATGAATTTGAACTAAAAAATTGTATTGGCCTCCCTGAGTCAATAAATGGTAAGATGGATGGAGGACTGTGATCTCCTGTAAGGACTCTTAATTGTCCAGTACCATCTGGCAACACTTATATTCAAAGTAGCCCATCAGAAAAGCATTTGATCAAAGACTCAATCTGTAAATTCAAGCCTGCTTGAAAGTGGACCTCTGAGGCCATGAGAACGAAACACTTTGTGTGTTGCACGGGCGTGCTTTTCATGTGCCAACATGCCTGTGCATCGCGGTGCCAAGGTCGGGGCAGCCAGCATTTTGGCCAGTGACTTTCTGGTAAGAAATCTTGATGCTCTCATTTGCAGGTTGAGGGCTGCAGGGGAATCACCCATCCAAGTTGACCTGGAGCAGTTTTTGTGTTTGTTTCTTAGAAACAATTTTACAAAATTTCTAGACAGCTCTATAAATAACCTTTAGTTCTAGAAGAGTAGGTTTTGAAACAAGGATTAAGAGATAGTCATAAAGTTGAGATTTGTTCTCTCCCCCCCCCACCATTGCTTTAAAAATAACAGCCAACCGTAGAATCTTCAGAAACTGATCCAAAGGAGGAATTCTGTCAAGACCAGGAATACTTGTGTTTTTCCTCAGCAGCTGGTTTATTTTTATCTTAAGGACCTTGTAAATTATGTAACAGATTGCATTTCCATCTTTGTTAGCTGCTGGTAAGCTTAGAGCCAGATTTGTGTACCCTTATTGGGAGGAATGTTAATTCCTCATCTTTGGCCCATGGGAACCTATTCAAGTTCACTCCTGAGTCCTTTTGACAAAACCCTAAGAGTCTTCATTAGCTTCCTGATTTTTCATATGATGACGTTTTCTAGGCTCATCTCTCAAAAAGACACACAAGGAAGACCCAACTGCTTGCATTCTTCGTACCAACATCATATCCATCTTAACCCTCCCTTACTCTGATTTCATCACCTGTTTTTATCTTCATAGACATCTTTTTGTTTGTTTTCTTGTGGAATGAAGAGAGGAATGAATGATCAGTGAACATCACCAGGCTGGGGGTCTAGTTTGTGAATGGTCCAGGCTGCCTCCCCCACCCTCTCTCTGCAGGACTTCTCTACCTCCAGAAGTGGGGCACAGGCAGGAAGGGGAAACGAGCTGAAATCAAGGAGACGTTGGTGCTTTTAGCTTCTCTGGTAAAGATTTGGAAGAAGGAGGGGCGGTCAAATGCAAATTCTAAAATATTATCCCAGTTTATTTATGGATTCCACATGTGGGAATCCAGGTCCCCATTGATGTACGTACTTGTGGTCACTTTTTCAAACCCATGTCTAAGAATGGTGTGCTGCACAGAGCCCCGTGTCCTCTAACTGGGAAGGGGATTCTCCGCCGCCTAGAAGTTCATTAAATGTTTATTCTAAAACAGACAATCTACACTACTGGCAAATCCTCTGAGCTTAGGGGAACTCCTTTCTTTACTGTGTGATAAAGGTAACACCCCAAAGAAGTACAACTTTAGCGCAATGGTTCTCAAACTTGAGCATGCTTTAGGGTCTTCTGGAGGGCTCGTGAAAGTACAGTCCCTGGCCCAGCAGGGCTGGGATGAGACCTGAGAGTCTGTATTCCTCCCAAATTCCCAAGTGATGCTGGTCTCAGCACCAGCCTTTGAGAACCACTTGCTAGGATGATCAGGTTATCCTTCAAGATAAGGTTTCAGCCTGTTCTTTTAGACTTAGCTTAGGGTCTAGGAGTTCATATGTATACAGGAATGAATATTATCTAGATGTTGTAGAATATCATCTTAATGCTAGGCCAAAAAGTAAGACATTTAAGAAAAAAGAGCTAAACCCGGAGTCTGATCGGTTGTCTTAAAGCACAAAGAAAGTTCTGATTTAAAAAAAAAAAAAAAAAAAAAAAAAGATCTAGTTGATCAGACAGTGCTTGGCCCTGTTATTTGCTCTTGAATATGAAGTCCAGTGCAGGAAGTGTTTCTCTGATGGGTGGGATGGTGGGGAAGATACTGGTCAGAAAGCTCGCGTCAGTGTCCTCAGCTCACCCTCCTGAGGGGAACACGATATCCTGTCTGTTTTGGTGAGAGCAGTGTGGACACCTCAGGCTGTTCTTCCCACAGCGACCCCAGGACACACCAAGTACCCAGGCTTTGCACTTGGGGGCCACTTCCTGATAAATGTTTGTGAAATTGAAACTTTTCCAGTAACCAAACAAAAGCAGCACTATCTGGTCTTTTCCTCTTGAGCCAGGCCACACTATATAAACTCCCCGGAGTCCTGCCTCTGAACACATTCTATAAGGGACTAACGCAGCCTTAGAATTTTAATGTGCTAATTATCAGAAACACTGTTTGCCTCTTCAGTGTGCTCCATTTCACTTAAGAGCTCAGTGAACCCAAAGAAACTGTATATCAATATTTCAAAAAATGTTTTCTTTCCCCATTACCAAAATAAAACCTGTGTATAAAAGTCTTTTTTAAAAAGAGTTTAGAATAAAGCTCTCCAGCAGTTATCCAGAAGAAACCTTTTTAAAAAGTTTGATGTTTACCCTTCAGTTTTCTCTAAGCATTTATAGATGCACATATGTATATAGAAAAATTTTAAACTAAGTGGGATCAATTATAATGTACCCACTATTTGCAGCTGCTGCTTCCTCCCCGCTTAATTTCTTCCATGTTAGTACATAGAATCCTGTCAAATCCTTTTTGATGGCTACATGGCTTTCCAGCATATGGAAATTTAGCATATTTATTATAGTTTATTTAGCCAATTCTGTACTAGATATTTCTGTTGTTTGTGCAACAATGAACACCTTGTGCCTAAGTCTCGGTGTATTTGTACAGTTATTTCAGAGGTATGGAGATTCCTGGAAGTGGAGTGAATGAGAGAAAGAATACCAGGTCTCCCTCGCTACCCAAAAGTAGAACATCCCTGTGAAAACTTTCCTGAACTGAAAATGGCAATAAAGAGAAGAAGCGGTTACCATTAATTTATATGGAAAAATGTTTGAGTGTTCCTGGACCCCCCAAAATAATCTCTTTAGGCTTTTCTGATACCTTAAGATTCATCTTGCTAACAGATGCACAAAATAACAAAGCACACATGCTCACGGACACAGTTCAGATCTCTGGCGACTGGATGCTGAGATGCCAAGTGCAGTTCCTGGGCCAGGAGCTTGGTGGTGCCATTCTCGCTGCACTGCCTGTGGTGTGCACTGCCTCTGTAATGGCTCATTGCCAAAAGAACACTGAACGCTATTTTCGCTCTTTGCCTTTTTTTGTAAAAGCAAAAATTCTCTTTGGATTTCTTTCAGTTACCAAAAAACCAGGTACTGATGTAGATCTTTCATAAAAGCAAAGGCGTAACATGAGCTTCTGAAAAGTGAGGGATACCTGTATGTGTTAGTATGTGTGTGTGTAGAGAATGTTAACTGTAGTATGTATGATAAGATACCTCTCTATTAAAGTAGAGGCCTTTAAAAATAGTAGGCCATGACCAGATTGGATTCATTACAGAAATAATGATAGTTTGATTTAGATACTCTGATAAATAGCACATTCATATTAATTGATCAGAGGGGGAAGAAACATTCAATCATCTGTGTCCTTTGTTGCTCAAAGTGCTTTTTTTTTTTTTTTTTTTTTTTATTTATTTCTAGGAGAGAGAGAGAGACAGCGTGAGCAGGGGAGGGTCAGAGAGAGAGGGAGTCACAGACTCTGAAACAGGCTCCAGGCTCTGAGCTGGCAGTCAGCACAGAGCCCGACGCGGGGCTCGAACCCACGAACCGCGAGATCATGACCCAAGCGAAAGTCGGACGCTTAACCGACTAAGCCACCCAGGCGCCCCTCAAAGTGCTTTTGATAAAAAGAATCAACTCTTGATTAAAAATCCTTAGAACAGTAGACTGTTAGCCTTCAAACTAAGTCAGTCTCTGTCTCTTTCCCAAAGTCAGCTAGCTTCCTTCTCAGTGATGGATAGTTGGCAACATTGTACAGTCGAGTCAGGAAATACGCAAAGATGCCCACTAGGACTTCGGAAGCCTTGGCTGGTACAGGGAGGCCAGAGACTGAAATAGGGGCATGAAAAGTGGACAGGAGGAGGTGACAAATGACCCTGTTTTCAGATGATATGATTTTGTGCCTGAAGCTAAAAAGCTATTAAAAATACGACAGGTCAGTAAGATGACTATTTACGTTGTTAAGAATTAATATTTAGCTGGCTTTTCCCTCACACAGGAGCTTCAAAGCACTTTAAACAGTGCTCCCCTATGGATTGTCTCATTTGTTCTCCTTCCAAGCCTGGGAAGTATGGGCCCTTTTTATCTTCATGTTAGATTAGGAAACTCGATTAGGCCTCGATATTAGGCCTCAATATCTTCAGTCATCTGACTGCAGTGCTGTAGCCAGAAAGTGGCTGGGCCGGCACCCAAGCACCGCTGCCTGTGGCACCGTTGTCACGTGGCCTCGGGCATGTCAGTTCAGCTCTGGGGCCACAGTTTGATCACTTCTGAATTAGACGGCCTCGGAACCCCCGAGTGTGGGGGCCAGGGCGAGAGCGTGTGCAGTGTGTGTTTACTGCCACGGCAGTCTCAGAGCCAGCTGGTGCTTAGTAGGGTCACTTCCCCAGGCCTCAGCTCTCTGTCCTCATCGTGTTCAAGTGTCAGCTGGGGATTGTTGAAAGAAAACAAGATTTCCCCCCATTTATTTTTTTCTGTTTACTGACCATGTAAATAACAGGGTGACTCCACTAACAAGGCTGGATACAAATGCCCATGTTTAGCCTTTGGTTTGAGTACCCTCCCTAGAGGCTCAGAAAGAATAATCAGGGACACTGGGCTTGATGACTGCCTCTACCATGAGACAGAGGAGGGCAAGATGGACCAGAGGCCCCGGGGACCTGTACGTGGCCACTGGGTCTCCAATGGCTCTGAGCGCAGAATACACATTTAAACCCTTCTTCTCTGTTGACCCCCCCAGTAACTAAACCCACGCTGAGGCTCACCTTCTTACCATAAGCTGCTGTCCTCTGGGGCTTCACGGTGCTGATGGTGGCTTCTGTCTCCCTCACCAGGTATGGAGAGAAGGGGAAAGCCATCCGGATCGAGAAGGTCATCTACACTGGGAAGGAGGGGAAGAGCTCGCGCGGCTGCCCCATCGCAAAGTGGGTGAGTGTCAGCCCTCCGGCCAGGGCTGCTGCCTCACTTCCCTCACCACAGTCCAGGCCAGAGGTGTGTGTATGTGGAAACAGACATGCTTACTGTTCAGGGGAACGTGGGAGCTTGCGTCTGCGCTCAGTTAAGGTCATTTTCCCCCAGCCTGAGCTAGCTTCATTTTATCTAAACACCAGCCCCTGGTACCCTGGGCTGGCCTCAGAAATGCTCTAGTCATTATGTTCGGTTCATACTCTCTCTGTGGATTGGGAATGTGGTTGAGGGGAGGCTTAAAGATGTCATCTTACTCAAGGCTGGGCCCCACTATGCACCATTTGACTCCTCTGCCCCTCCATGTGCTGGTGGTGTTCCTGTCGCCAGTCCAGAAGAACTAGGCCTCCAGGCAGGTTGGGGACAATCTTTTATCTGCTTTACTGCTGAGGCTCCGTTCCCTCTAAGGCAACCTGAGCATCCCAGTGGGGGGGAACATCACTGACCAGAACCCTCGTTTCACCCCCACCCAGTTCTCTGACCTTGCCCTTGCAGTCCTCTAGGAGATATTTAGCATCACTACAGAAGCTTGAGAGCAGCAGCAGGGTCATTAGGTAGTTGGGAGCTCAGCACTGTGCTGGGTGCTCCGTATGGGGATTTGCCTTAAAAATGAAAGGCTCTGTCCCTGTGCTCAGTCTGCTCATGACGTAGAGACACATGAAACAAAATCACAGACTTGAGTGATCAAGGTCCACCTGTGAGAGGCAGACTCAGTGCGATAGAGTTCAGGGTCAAGGGATATGAATGGTGGGAAGAACACGAGGCTTGGTTTGTCAGGAGGGTAACGCACCTGGGGCCATGAATACAGAGCCACATTAAATGGGCTGACGAGGGGTGCTTGGGTGGCTCAGTCAGTTAAGCTTCCAACTTCGGCTCAGGTCATGATTTCATGGTTCGTGAGTTTAAGCCCTGCATCGGGCTCTGTGCTGACAGCTAGCTCAGAGCCTGGAGCCTGCTTCAGATTCTGTGTCTCCCTCTCTCTGTGACCCCCTCAAAAATAAATAAACATTAAAAAAAGATTTTTTTTTAATAAATGGCTGACCGGAGAGTAGAAGCATTTCTGGAAAAGAGAGTCATGTGAGCAAAGGTAACAGGCTGTGTGAATATACAGCTCACTGAGTGAGGGAAGGTGGGAAGATGACCTTTGTCAGCCTGTGTCCATCTGTGCACATGGCTGTTTTTATCTCATATACGCCATGCCTTTGCACCTTTGGTTTTAATGACTATGAAAGCTGTCTGTACCTGAACTATCACGTATCTTTTTAGCAAGTTTTCAGTCAGTATTGCAGAATTATCTATAATAAAATAATGGGGAGCTACTGAGAGCCTTCAGAGGTATGAAGAAATATAGTGTCCCCACCCTCCTGAAAGAGAGGTATTGCAGTGGAAGGTAGACTGTACCTGTCTGTGGCTGATCAGGGTGCAGTGTTATCCCTCAGAGAACCCGTCAGTGACATATCTGCCCCTTATTCCTGCTAATCCATGTAGTTGTTGGAGAATTCCAAAGTCTTGGATAGGAAACTGAAGATCCTCACACAGGTGGAACCTAGGGACTTTTCCCTCTTCAGAAACAGTTGGATCAAGGGCAGAAAACAGCTGGCTGTGTAGGTGATGTAGAAGAAGAGAGTGTGCATTTCCAGCCCCTGAGCTCCGGGGAGCAGCACCTGTGCGTCTCTGCTAGGGCTGAGGACGGAGGTGCCCAGGTGAGGTGGTGAGCTCAGTTCCTGGGGGCAGGGAGAGGGGAGCAGAATGATAGGGGGGGAGGAACTTGGTCTGCACACGTTGGTCCTCCAGGACCTGTGGGCAGATGCCCAGAGCAGAGCACACGAGGCACCTGATGTTTTGTCCAAAGTTTGAAATAGCTCATGGGTATCACCAAACCCTGGTAGGTGATGCCAGCTTTGAAAGAAAAGCCCAGATAGAAGGGAATGCATAGTGACCACGTTCCCAGAAGTGGGGAAATTCCTGTATCTGACGAGGGAAGAGAAAAGGAGAGAGGAGGGAGATTGTGTTTTATAGGGAAGAGCAAATGGAGGTGGGCCATTGACTATTACAGTGGTAAGAAAATGGTGGTGCTGAGTTGTGTTTTTCTTTTCTAGCTATCTCTCCTAGTGCAGTGGACTTGTTTTTTGCCTACACGGCCACCAAATACCCTATCTACCTTGGTGGTAGAGCTCATCTAAAGAGTTCTACCTCCTTGGAAGTTGGAAAAGGGCAGGTGTTCCCTTCCCTGCTTCCCTCTACCCCCCCCCCCCCACACACTGGGAAGTGACCCATAAGTGCCAAGGAGAGCAGATTGTTCTTAGTGTCAGTGTGGCATCAAGAGCCCAGGCAGTAGTCTATGGGTACGGGCAAGCGGCAGCATCCAGCTGCCTGTGGTGGACACTTCCTGTGGCTCTTCCCACCCACCGCCTGTTCTTGTCTCCTCTCTAGAGCCTGGGTTTCCATTTCCAGCCAGGTTCATGTCTTTGTCTACAGCCTGGACAGCCCAACCAGTAGGTTCGTCTAAAAGGCATGTGCCTGACAAATTCTGGACTTGCCCGGCCTGGCTCTTGGGGGACAAAGTTGAGGTACATCCTGGGTCCCCAGCAAATGTGTGTTGAGAGAAGGATCTAAGGAAGCAGTGAGATAGCCCAGGGAGTGCACTGATACTCTCCACTTTGGAGGAGGCTTGTACTAAGTATGGAAGTCGGCAAGTATGGGAGTAAGGGAATGACCAGGTAGCATTCCAGGGGTTCAGAATAAATGGAGACATGCCAGAAACAAACACTGCCGACCGCACAAATGCACTTTGGATAGAAGAATCGTGGAGATGCTGTTAGGGCCAGTCTGTGAAGATAACAGGGGTCTGAAGTCAGATATATGAAGGCCCCTTGAGGGCAGGGGTGGAACAGAACTCCTGGGGAACCCCACGGATTGGAACTAAGTACCAGGAGTAGGAAAACAGATGTGGGCTTCCTTTGGTGCTGTGCTGTTGTTGTGCAGTGAGCAGAGGATTCCTGGCCAGAATCTGGGGGCTCTGTCTGTGATCCATGGCGGTATATGAGCCACCAGTGTGGCTGCGCTCAGGTGTTGGTGTCTTCCTGCCTTACACTGGCCTTTTGATTTTTGCACTTCGTGCATTCAGTCCTGCCGGCTTCCTTCATAATAGGGGTAGGGAGCGCCACTTTATTGTTTTCTTACACTTCTTTTGAGTGTACCCATCGGCCTCTGAGGGTGTGGCCACAGAGAGCTGTCTGCTTGTGCTTATCATGTTTATGTGTTTGCCACTTGGGAAACCAAAAAGACATGGCCTCAATCTCAGCTTTGACAGGTCAGGTGTTTCCCTGTGTGCTCTAAACACATGTTGCACATGAGTGTGATTAGCCAGTGCCCTACCCTGAGCACCGAGCAGGGATTGCCAGTAGAGCCTCAGAAAGCCTGGTGACAGAGACTGCAGTCTTATCAGTACCCAGGATGTGTGTCGATGTTCACGATACGCCCGGCTCTGTCTGCGAAGGCCAGGCAGTCACACAGGGAGCCCTGATACCACATGACTTAATGACATGTTCATGTGTTACTGATCCCAAAAAACATTTTTAAAAAATAATGATGTAACCGGTGCTTCTGTGGGTTGGCCCAGAGCAGGAACTCATGGGCCAGGGATATGTTTTGTTTAACGTGTCCCTTAAAATTTTGAAGGAAATTCTGACATCTGCTACAAATGGATGAATCTTGAGGCGGTTATGCTAAGGACAAACACACTATGATTCCACATATATGAAGTATTGTGAGTAGTCAAACTACTCAGAGTCGGAAAGTAGAATGGCTGTTACCATGGGCTAGGGGCCAGAGAGAAGGGAGAGTGCAGGTAAATGGGTACAGGGTTTCTGTTTGGGAAGATAGGATGCTGTGGGGGTGGACAGAGTTCCGGTGATGGCTGCAGAGCAGGGTGAATGTACTTCTGCCTCTGGGCCATGTGCTTAATGATGGCTGCAGTGGTAAATTTTATGTCACATGTGTTTTACCATGATTTTAAAATGTTGAATTAGGTGCTCACATCTTTAAAAGGAGAGACTTCAGGTAAAAATCTAGATTTCTGTTTTCTTCTTGTTAAAATTGGAAGAGGTAGCTGCACTAGGCTGGAATTCCCACCAGGCAGTGGCTGATGGAGAGGAGGCCTGGCCTACCCATTTTGAAGGGGCAAGTGTTTTTCACTTGGCCATGATCCACACCACCCCCAGCTGTCCATCTGGCCCACTTTCCTTATTTATACTGCACGCCTGGCTGCCTCTTTGCACAGCTCCCTGATGTACTCATGACCAAGTGTGTCTCCAGCCCAGGCATCTCCTGACATCAGACCCAATGTGCTGGGGTCTAACTAGAAATAGCCACTCGAATGTTCCAAAGGACCTCAGCTCCAATGTGTAAATAACCCACAACCCACCCCACTGTCCTGTGCCACAAAAGTGGAAGTCCATTTAAGACTTTGCCCTGTCCCTCAGCCCCTAGAGTCAGATGGTCCCAAAGTCACTTTCTCCTCAATGTGTCTGAATGCATTCCTTTTCCCGTTTCATCCCCCGCTGCCCTACTTCAGCACTTGATCCCCTTTTGCTTGTGTTGTTTGTTAGTGTCTCCTTGTCACTCTCCCCTCCACCCGCCAACCACCTGCTCCCCTTCTAGAGCAGGAAGCTACTTATGAAAGCTCCTTGTGTGGACTCGTTGGTGGAGCCCCCGCCTTGAGTGCAAGCCCTTGTAGTCTGCCCTCATGCCTCATCTTATCAGGTCAGAGAATTAGTTGGAGCTCTTAGGGGAGATCAGCCACCTTGTCCCACAACTCCTCAGCCCTTTGCCGTTTCCTTATCTTTTGGGGAAGAGTTCTGGATGTGAGTTGTGTGAGGACCTGGGGACCTGGCAGCAGTGCAGAGCCCAAGGCCCTTGCTTTTTGTTTTCTTTAAGCACCTTATTGAGATATAATTCACACACCATACAATGTATCCATTCAAAGTATATAGTTCACTGGTTTGGGGTATATTATTAATTTTTTTTAATTTTTAAAAAATTTTTTTATTTTATTTTTATTTTTTATTTATTTTTCTTTTTTACACAAATAGTTTATTTTCTTTTTTATTTTTTTTTCTTTTTTATACAGTTTATTGTCTAATTTTTAAAAATTGTGTTAAAATATACATAACATAAAATTGGCCATTTTAACCATTTTTAAGTATACAGTTTAGTGGCATCAACTATATTCACTCTTTTTTTGTTTTGTATTTTTTTTAATATTAGAGCGAAGGAGGGGCAGAGGGAGGGAGAGAGAAGATCTTAAGTAGGCTCCATGCTGTCCACGCAGAGCCTGTCACAGGGCTCTATCCCATGACCCTGGGTTCATGACCTGAGTTGATATCAAGATTCGGACACTGCACTGACTGAGCCACCCAGGCGGCCCAACATTCACATTGTTTTGCAACCAGGCGGCCCAACATTCACATTGCTTTGCAACCATTGCTGATGCAACCATCAGAACACTCTAGATTTTTCAAGACTTTTTCATCATCCCATAGGGAAACTCTGTACCTGTTAAATAATAATTCCCCATTCTCTCCGCCCCAACCCTGGCAGCCACTTTCTGTCTCTGTGAACGTGACTCTTCTAGGTACTCTGTGTAAGTGGAATCATACAGTACGTATTCTTTAGTGTCTGGGTTCTTTCACTTAACATGTTCTCTAGGTTCATCTATGTTGTCGCATGAGTTAGATTTTCCTTCCTCATTAAGGTTTATGACTATTCCATTGTTTGGAGAGTCCACGTCTTATATCCATGCATCTGTTGATGGACACTTGGGTTGTTCCTGCTGTGTGGCTGCTGTGACCAGTGCTGCTCTGAACATGAGTGTGTAAACACCTGTCCCAGTCCCTGCTCCCGGTCACCTTGGGTATATTCCTAGGAATGGCATTTCCTGGTCGTATGGTAATTATATGTTTAGCTTTTCAAGAAACTATCCGAAATTGTTTTCCACAACACCAGGGCCCTTGGTTTTTCATTAAAATCATACAGATATGCAGCATTTTCTCTGCAAATATTTTAAGACTACATAAAAATCTCTGAATATATTTTGGCTTACCAATTTATCTGTGTGTTTTTAGTCCTAAGTCTGTGTAATTCATCAATAATAACTTAGGTTTTGTAGTAAATATTTTTTATTTAGCTCTTAAATTACTTTTGTGTTTATTATTCCCTAATTATTAACGGTCTCTTAGCCTGTGTGGTTGCCATTAGCAGGTTGTGATATCCCGTGGACACTGCCCTAAAGACCTGAATCCCCAGGTCTGGTCGGCAGAGGTGGGGGGGTGTATGGCGTCCCATGCAGAGGAGCGTGGTGGCGTGGCTTCCACAGTTAGCAGTGCCCTCCCCACCCCGCGCCCCTGCAGGTGATCCGCAGGCACACGCTGGAGGAGAAGCTACTGTGCCTGGTGCGGCACCGGGCGGGCCACCACTGCCAGAACGCGGTGATTGTCATCCTCATCCTGGCCTGGGAAGGCATCCCACGCAGCCTCGGAGACACCCTCTACCAAGAGCTCACCGACACCCTCCGGAAGTATGGGAACCCTACCAGCCGGAGATGTGGCCTCAATGATGAGTACGTGGGTAGGATCCCGACGTGCAAGGGTGGGGTGGCGGGGCCAGATATCCATCAGTGGGGCCTTGGGGAGCAGAGGCAGGGAGAGACCCTGGGCCCCCCTGAGGGGGGTGCTAGCCCCTCCCAGGGCCCTGTCTGTCCTGCAGTCAGGGCTGTGATGAAAGAAGTTCTCCCACAATCCTGACCTGGGTTCTTCTGGTCCCAGCAGGAGAAGGGTCTCTTGACTTAGCTCAGCTTTGCTGTTGAACCTCAGATGAACTCTGAGGTTCTAATGGTGGAATAGCTGGGAGTGCCTGAGTGCTCTGTACATCTAAGGCATCAGTGGCATTCATAAAACCTGCTCCTCTAGGGTCTTTTCCCACTTTTTATTTATTTTCTTAACATTTATTTATTTTTGAGAGACAGAGCATGAGTAGGGGAGGGTCAGTGAGAGAGGGAGACACAGAATCCAAAGCAGGCTCCAGGCCCTGAGCTGTGAGCACAAGCCCGACACAGAGCTCAAACTCACAGACTGTGAGATCATGACCTGAGCTGAAGTCGGATGCTTAACCGACTGAGCCACCCAGGCGCCCCTTCCCACTTTTTAAACTAAGGTGTTTGTTTTTAATGTTTATTTTTGAGAGAGAGAGAGGGTGTGAGTGAGTCTGGAAGGGGGAAAGAGAGAGGGAGACACAGAATCTGAAGCAGCCTCCAGGTTCTGAGCTGTCAGCACAGAGACTGATGCGGGCTCGAACCCACGGACCGCAAGATCATGACCTGAGCCCAAGTCGGATGCTTCACCGACCGAACAACCCAGCCCCTCAACCCCACTTTTTAAATTAAGGAATTTTTACTTAGGTATACAGTTGAAGAGGTTTCTTTTTAAGTTTTTTGTTTACATTCCAGTTACGTAACATACAGCATAGTATTCATTTCAGCTGTTGAAGTTTGAAGGGTTTTGACAGATGTCTACAGTCACGTAGCCGCCACGAAGATCTAGAACCTTTCCATCATCCCCTCCAGTCCCCCTGTGCTACTTTGTAAGCAGGTTTCCTTCTGCCCTTGGCAACCGCCACTCTTGCTTCTTATCCCTGTCAGTTTGCCTTTGCAAGAATGTTGTATATATAGATGGAACCATACGGGGTGTAGCCTCCTGAGTCTGGCTTCTTTTTCCCTAAGCATAGGGAAAAAGTTTCTGAGCTTCATCTGTGGAAGTGTGTATCTCATTCTTTTTTATTGCTGAGTAGTCTGCCACTGCTGGACTCTTCACAGGTCATTTATCCACTCCCCAGTTGAGGGGCATCTGGAGCATTTCCAGATTTGATTAGTTGTTGATAATGTCAGTGTTTATTTATTTAAAGGACTGTCAGCTCCTGGGCCTGAAGGAAGCAGGCGTGCTCATACCCTATAGTCCATGTCTCTTCCCTGATTGTGTCATATGTGTTAGAACGTGTCATGATATTATTGTTAAGGCAAAGTATAAACCTTACTGGGGTTTTGACTAGATTCTTCCCACTTGCCTCAAACAACCCATGAGTTTCTCCCAGCAACAGATTCTACAAATTTTCTTTTTTTTTTTTTTTAATGTTTATTTTTGAGAGAGAGAGAGTATGAGCAGAGGAAGGGCAGAGAGAGAGCGAAACACAGAATCCAAAGCAGGCTCCAAGCTCTGAGCTGTCAGCACAGAACCCGACATGGGGCTTGAACTCCTGCACCGTGAGATCATGACCTGAGCCAAAGTCATATGCTTAACCGGCTGAGCCACCCAGGCATCCCTCCCAACAGCAGATTTTTTAGACCTTTAGGCTCAGGGGTAGGAGAAGAAAGGGTTGCTCAGAGCTGACTCTCTAACACAAGGAAATTTGGGAAAGGAGTTAAACGTGGGGAGGGATGTGGTCCCAGTCACCGGGAGGCCGTGGGTGCCAGGCCTCAGCAGGCCCTCCCCATGATGTAGGAGGATGGTTTCAGAACAAAAAATGTGTCTGTATGCCTAACGTGTGACACGTGTTGCAGCCGGACCTGCGCTTGCCAAGGCAAAGACCCCAACACCTGCGGTGCCTCCTTCTCCTTTGGATGTTCCTGGAGCATGTACTTCAACGGCTGCAAATACGCTCGGAGCAAGACGCCTCGCAAGTTCCGCCTCGCAGGGGACAACCCCAAGGAGGTGAGCGGAGCTCTGGCTCTTCCCACCCCACCTCCTGTCTCTGGTAGTGCGGTGGGGGATGGGTTGGCACACCCCGACTCGTGCGCAGATCATGCAACTGGCTTTATTTTTTTAACTGACCTTATCTTGCTGTGAAGTAAGGTATGTGGGGTGTGGTGTGGAAGGGTGTGATGAGTAAAAGAATTAAACCTAATCAGTTAGGGGCACCTCATACTCTCCCAGTTTAAAACAGTCTCTTTAAGGTAAATAGTCAAGTTTCTCACCAAAATTTGACCTTCTTCATGGGTCATTTCTTCTCTTCATTCTTTCCAAGACGTGTTTGCAGGGTTGGGAGGTATAGCAGGAAGAGGAGCCTCTAGGCCCTCGGCCGCTTTCTGGGGCCAGTGCTGGGCTTCCCGAAGGGCCCCTCGTCCTGCCTGGCAGCCAGGCCCGTGTCTCTGTACGGTCGTCCATGGGTCCAGGCCCTTGCTGTCTCCTTGCTGGGAGCCTGGCCTGTCTCTTAGGCTCCGGACTAGTGTGCACAACAGCCTCCTGTCTGCAGCCTCCTGGTGAGGCCAGGCTGCCTTCCGCCCTGCCCCATCCCCTGTGCTGCTGTGCTTGTGAATGCCATCCCGGAGGTGGTCTTCACGTGGAGTTCCAAATGCAGAGAAGGTGCGGGCCTGTCTGGGCTCCCCACCATCTCCCCTCCACTTTACCACCTCCCAACTACCTGGGCTCCTGTGAGGCAGGGTACTGGGTCCCTTCGTGGGGATCTAGGCAGCGTCTTGATCCCCAGTTCTACCTTCCACTTCTCCCTGAGCTCCTGTACAAAAAGGCTGTCCTCCTTTTCTATGGGTGCAGGGACTCCCTCGGGGCACAAGTTTTTCTTCTCTGTGTGTAATAAACTTCTATGCTCTGAGTACCCAGTTCTGCTTTTCTGAAGTAAAAGGAATCATTTTCAAATGCAGAACTGTTTTTTCCTAGCAAAGCCTGGCTTTTAGACTATTGCACAAGCTAGTCTGATAGTCTGATTTGACACTGGACTTTTCTTTTTGGTGGCATCTGCCCTCCCCTGGAAGCAAGCAAATGCAGTTGTTTCAATGAAGAGAGGAGCCCCAGGGCCACAGGAACTAGGAATGACCAGGAGTGAAAAGACATTAATTTCTCACAGATACTTCCCCCGTTCCATCAGTTGCCATTTCACTGTGCTTACTTAGTGCAAGGACTCTGCCCAGCACCTCACAGTATGCATCTCCTCAGGGTCTTAACCTCGCCACACCCCGGGGTCTAGGCCCCGCTGCTACTCACCTTACAGATGGGGTGGGACAACGTGGCAGTAATGGTAAAGTCAGGCCTGGGTTTTCCCAGAGCTTACGAGCCTCGGCCCTGTGCTGTGCTGGCCTTGGGCCCTCCATGTTGGTGGCAGCCTCTGGACTGCAGCCAGAGATAGGCAGCTGGCGGTGGCTGGCAGCTCTGGCCACCCTGCTGGACAGACTGCTGAGCCATTGGTCTTGCTCTTCCATCTCTACTTCTGTAAACTTGGTTCTTTTTCTCTTCCTCCTCCTTCCTCTTTGTCGCTGAAAACTCTTCATGCCTATCTGTGTTCAAGACCTTGTAGGAACACACACGCACACCCACATGCACACACACACACACACCTGCCCCCACCGGCTCTACTTGCCACCCTCAGAGGGCCAGGGAGAGGCTGTGGATACCTGAAACCCTTGGCCAAATGTAGCTGGGGTGCTGCTGCTTTGTCTGGGGTGGCACTATCCAGTGGAACTTCTTCTGTGAGGACGGAAACGTTCTCTGCAAAAAACATGTAGCACAGGAGCCTCATGTAACCACAAAAACTTGAAATGTGGCTAGTGAAACAGACACTGGATTTTTAATTTTATTTAACTTTTTTTAGATGTTTGTTTATCATGAGAGAGAGAGAGTGAGTGGGGGAGAGGCGGAGTGGGGGAAAGAGGAGAGAATCCCAAGCGGGCTTCATGCTGTCAGCACAGAGTCCCACATGGGGCTCAATCTCACAGAGGGTGAGATCGAACCTGAGCCAAATAAAGAGTCAGACACTTAACCAACTGAGCCACCCAAGAGCCCCAATTTTATTTAATTTTAATTAAATTTAATATATATTTCAATAGCAGCACAGGGCTCATGACTAACACATGTAACGGTACAGGTCTAGAGAGTAGAGTGTCCCTGGCTCATGATAGGCTTTGGGCCTGGCTGGCTGTGGAATTCCTGACCTAGACTTTGACCTGCCCCTCTCTGCCATCATTTACCTGTCTGTAACACCAGAAGAAAAAGCCACACCTGTTGCTTTTGCTTTTCCCCGCCTGCTGCATTGCACTTCTGACCTAGGGTATTGAGCACTCAAAACCAACAACTGGTTTTATGTGTTGTGAGCGGCACTGGGCTGGAACCTGGAAGAGCCGTCGCTTAGTGGTCAGGATGACTGGACCTTCAGGCCACGGCTTTTCCTGAGCTTTTATCTCCAACATTAAAACAGACATGGTACCCTATGCCTCCCAGACAGAACCTGTAAAAACACCTGATGGCACTTTACTTCCCACCTTCCCAGCAACCCAGTGATGGTTCTAGAGTGGAGGTTAATTTCCTGTATGTAGAGTGTGCTAGATGGGGCTGCTCTGGATACGCGTGACTGCTCTTCTCTCTACAGGAAGAAGTGCTCCGGAAGAGTTTCCAGGATCTGGCTACCGAAGTTGCTCCCCTGTATAAGAGGCTGGCCCCTCAGGCCTATCAGAACCAGGTACTGAGGCTTGGGCCTTTCTCTGCCCCTGTGTCATCTGTAACTGGTCATGTTCCCTGAAGTCAGGAAATGGGAGAGTGAGCACCTTTGTGCTCCTTATGGGAAGGGCTTGGCTAGAGATAGAGCAGTAATGTAGGTCTTTGATGAGATCCTTTCTTTACACCAAGCCAACTGCATCCCAGACCATCTCTCCCCTATCCCTTACTTTCATGCTTCTCCCCATGATAATCCATCATCTCCCCTGGTCTGGCTTCTGGGGAGGCTCAGGTTTCTCTCTCCTGTCCCCCATGCATCCCACCATGCAGATGCAGTGAGGGTGACTTGAGGTTACCCAGAAGGAAGTAATTGCTATGGAAGCTTCAGCCAGAAAGCCTACCTCCTGAAGCCCCTGTGCAAGGCCTCCGTGGTCCTTAACCCCCTCCCTCTGAGACCTAGCCCCGCCTCCCCAGCACAGAATCAGGGCCACTGACCTCAGGTCACACAAGCAGTTCTCTTTGGCTATCCATGCAGGTGACCAATGAGGAAATAGCGATTGACTGCCGCCTGGGGCTGAAGGAAGGGCGGCCCTTCTCAGGGGTCACAGCCTGCATGGACTTCTGTGCCCACGCCCACAAGGACCAGCATAACCTCTACAACGGGTGCACAGTGGTAAGGAACCTGGGCCCGTCACAGAGTCCCCGCGGGATGGTCCTGGGAAAGAGACTGGTTTATGCACACAGGTGGGCTCAGAGGAGGGAGGGCCCTGGAGACAAGAGTCTCATCACTGGGAGGTGCCCTCCAGACTGGCTGCCCCTGCCCACTTCTCTGAGAAATGCATGGACTGGAATGCTTGGACGAGGCTGGTCTCGTCTCCACGTCTTAGGTGGATGCTGTAGAATGCAGGCTGTTGGGCACCTGGACTCCCTCAGTTACCTAAAGATGGTTCCAGGTCTCTGTGAACACTTGGATTTAAATCCAGACCGCTTCTGGAGTCATCCATTGAGCAAATGTTTATTGTGCCCCAGGTACTGTTCTAGATGTTGGGGAACAAAATGGACTAAGCCCTGCCCGAGTATGTGATACAGTTAATGTCTGGTAGTGCTGAAGGCTGTGAGGAAGCGATCAGCAGGGTAAGGGGTAGAGTGATAGGAGATGCTATTTGGGAAGCCATGGGCAGAGCGGCCCCTCTGAGGAGGGGTACCTGAGCTGAGGCATGAATGAAGCAAGAGAGTAAGGGACCTGAGTGTCTGAGGGTGGAGGGCTCCAGGCAGAAGGACCAGCACAGACAAGGGCTCGGGGTAGGCAGGGACCAGCTCACAGGGAGCTCAGAAGGTGGGCAGGGCTGTGGGTTGTTCTCCAAGTGTGATGGGAAGCTGGGAGTGGTAGGATCTCCTTGATAACGTTTCAAGTGCTCTCTTGGTCCTGCAGATGGAAAAGAAGTATGTGGAGAATGGGGTGAGTGGGAGACAATCAGAGGAGAAAGCCAGTTAAGAGGCTGGGACAGTGTCCGGGCTAGAGGTGACAGGGCTTGGGCAGGAGTGAGGGTAGGGAGAGAGTGATGGGACAGACTTTGGGTGATTTTGAAGATACAGCCAGCGGGGGGGGGGGGGGGGGGGGGGGGCCTGCTAATGGACAGGTGCAGGATATGAGAGGGAAAGACTAGAGAGCCCCCCCAAGGCTTTTTGCCTGAGCACCTGGGCAAGTGTCGGTGTGATAGCTGAGACGTAGAATCGCAGGAGAAGGCCAGTTTGGGGGTGAAAGTGAAGAGTTCTGCTTTGAGCTGCTGCCAGATGTCCAGGTGGACACATGGAGCAGGCAGGGGGGTGGGCTGCCTGGAGAATACGTAGTTCACAGTTTCAGCCACAGGGCTAGACGCCGTCACCAGGGGAGCAAGTGCAGATGGAGAGGAGGGGAGGTCAGGGCGTGAGTGGGGACCGCTTCGAAGAGATGGTGCCAGCTCTCTTCATGGCTTTTTAACTCGGTCCTGGCAGGCTGGGCTCCCTGGGGAATTGAGGAAGAGGCAGGGGCACTGGCAGTTCACCCGAAAGGGGACTCCCAGAGTCAGGGTGTCGCTGGGGTCTGCCACGGGGGTTGGCGGCCCAGCACGAGACTTCATTTTTCTACCTTGTCCTCCTTCCCTTATGTCCAAGGCTAGAAGTCAGGCCTCCATCCACACGGTATTTTGAGGGTTTCTAGCTGCCACACAGAGAAAGGGAGGGACGTCCAGGGTTGGAAGAGGGGCAGGGAAGGAGGAGGAGACATCGGGAGAGAGGAGCACAGTGAGGTTATTTTGATCCCAGAGCTTGTAGCATTTGGAGTGGAAGAAAAAGTAAACTTCTTCCAAAATGAACAGTGTTTTTTTTAAATCAAACTATTTATTGTCTAAAAAAGTAAACAGTTTAAGAAAGTGTAAAGTAAAAATTGCCTGAAATCTCAGAGACCTAATGAGTGTTAGTTAGCATTGTGATGACCAGCCTTCCAGGTACCTGAATATGTGTGCATGTGTGTACAGCTGTGTAAGATTTACACAGACGTGATCACACTATATGTATGTGCTGTTCCATGACCTGTTTTTCTTGAGAATACATGATGGATAGCTCTGTGTGTCACTGGATGTAGACTTACTTCAACGTGCTGTAAGGTTGTATGTGTGGCTCTGACCACTTCCCCTGTGGATGGACAGTGAGTGCCTCCAGACACCCCCTGTGTAAACCAGAGTGGGGGTCCATCCGTACTACATCTTGGTGTGGTGGGGGAATAATCCCCTTGAGATCCCGGGTAAGGACTGATATAGGCTTAGAGTGTGGTTTCTCCGGCTCACTTGGCAACGCAGGGTTTTCTCAGTTTCTTTAGTCTCTGCCCGCCTGAGGGCCAGACGTACGTCAGACTGTAGTTTTTCTTTTACGACTAGAGAGGCTGAACATCTTTTTCTCTATCTCTTACCCATTTAAATTTTGTCTTTCTGACTACCCTTTATGTCCTCTTTTTTATTTTTATTTTTTTAAACAAGGATAGCCCTGTCTGTTGACATTGGTAAGGTATCCATGTTAAGGAGAGAAACACAGCTTCTGTCCTATCTCATCCTTTGCTTTTTACTTTTGCTGTAGTGTCTATCACATTGGGTTTTAGGGAATGATGGGAAGCAGGGCCAGTGGTCAGTCCAACCCAGAAAGCCCACAGGGTCTGGTCAGAGCAGGTCAAGTCTGAAGAGCCACACATACTCTGGGAAGAAACACACTTGGTAGAGCATCACACCAGAGGGGGAGCTGTAGATAAAAGCATGAACACGCTGACCTCATAAAAATGTACAGGTTCCGTTCAGTAATAAAACAGCGTGATCAAAATTGAAAGGCCCATACAAACTGGAAAACAGTATTTGTAACAAGTGACAAAATGAATGATAACTTTCATAGATAAAGATTACTTTACATAAGTGATAAAAAGTAAATAGTCGTATAAAAATGAGCAAAAGGCATAACACTCACCAAAAAGAGAGCTGTATTAAAATATACCCAACGTTTGTTTTAATGGAGTATGATAAGACCGGAAAACACAGGATTGTCAGGAGGGCCGAACTTTATACTCACAGAGCCGAGAAGCATGTGCCCACCAGGCCACAGGGGGAGCACCAGCATTGGTTAGGAGGCAAAGGAGTGAGTGCGGAGAGGGTGGCCCGCGGCAGTTGGAGATTTGGTTGGAAGGAGTGGGCAAGGCAGAATATGGAAGCTGAGTAAGCTGAGGACTGGAGTTTGAAGAGTTTGTGGGCTGAGCCATAGGGGTGCTCCCCAGTTGTCCTCCCTAGCCCTGGGTGATGGAGGGCAGGAGGAATATTTGCTTGGTGTGTGAGAGTTTGATAAAAGGGAGAGCTGGGGGTGTGGGCCCTGGCTTGGTCAGTTTGTGTATCAGAGTGTACCTGAAGGGGGGGGTCATTTGCTATCTCTAGGAATTAACTGGTTGTGGGGGAAAGACACCCCTCCAGGGTCAACGCCCCAAATGCCAGGGCATCAAGAACACAGAAAATAAAATAGAATCAACAAAACAGTCAGAGTAAACTTGAAAGAGAAAAAAAATTTTACCCCATTAGTAATCAGGGAAATGCAGAGACCAGCAGTGAGATACATTTTGATAATGAACAGAACGTTTTTCAGAAGTTAATGGCAAAATTATAAGCAAAAGTGTAGGAAAATGGAGGCTCACCTTCAGCCAGTACAAGTGAAGAGCCTGATAAACATTTTGGAGGGCAGTTTGGCAATGTGTAGCCATTTACTTCACAGTGTTTATTCTGAGGAATTACGTGTTTTAGAAAATACAGTTTTAAGGTGCTGTAAGTACTGTTTATGACAGGAAAAAATTAGAGGCAAGTTTTAATAGTAATGGATTCATTAAATGAATTCATTGATACAATAGAATAATATTATGCAAGTTCTTAAATCACATTGGAGAATATTTAATGCATAAGAAAATATATTTGCCATGTTTAAAAAATGAAGTTATTATAAAGCTTGTATGTATAATGTGATCCTACCTCATTACCAAAAAGTGTGTGTATATGCATATATGATCAAAGTGTTTGTAGTGATTATTTCTGGATGGTGGGATTATGGAGATAATTATTATTTCCTTTCTGCTGGCCTAAATTTTCTACAACCAGGACATAGTGGTTTTTCATAAAAAGTATTTTAAGAGGAAAAGGAGGCTGAGTGTTCAGGGCAAGGAGTATAATGGTGGAAGGCCTGAGGCTCAGCAAGGTGATAAAGGACAGTGACAATACTACGGTGGTGGGAAGACCACGGCCACCAGGCCTGACCCGGCCCCTTTCCAGCCGTGCGACTTTGGGCCAATCATCTCCTCGCCTCTCAGCCACATGAGGGTCCCAGGAAACAAAGTGAATGTCTTTATCTAAAGCCCTTTGAAGCTGTAGAGCAGATTCTAAATGTTGGGGACACTGTTCCTCCATGAACCAGGACAGCTATGCTTTTAGACACTCTAGAAACCTGGATGGCTGGTGTTGGGACTGTGTGAGAAGGTTGGGGGCAGGTCTTGTGTGCAGATCCTCAGCCTCTTCCTTTGAGCACCGGGCTCCCCCAACGCCATGCACCCTCCCTCTCTCTGCCTGGGGCAGGTCTGCACCCTGACCAAGGAAGACAATCGCTGCGTGGGCAAGATTCCCGAGGATGAGCAGCTGCACGTGCTCCCCCTGTACAAGATGTCCAACACAGACGAGTTTGGCAGTGAGGAGAACCAGAATGCCAAGGTGGGCAGCGGGGCCATCCAGGTGCTCACTGCCTTCCCCCGCGAAGTCCGGCGCCTGCCTGAGCCTGCCAAGTCCTGCCGCCAGCGGCAGCTGGAAGCCAGAAAGGCGGCAGCCGAGAAGAAGAAGATTCAGAAGGAGAAGCTGAGTACTCCTGAGAAGATCAAACAGGAGGCCCTGGAGCTGGCTGGCATCTCCACTGACCCAGGTATGGAGGGAGAGGGTGCCCACCAGTGGTGGCACTGGCGGGGCAGGGTGGGGAGGGTTGTGGCCCTGGACAGCACCCTCACTGCCCCTCTTCCTGCCTCGAGATAGCACTGCAGACTAAAGACCAGGCCTCTCTCAGCCACGTGGACCACACGTGACCTTAACTGTCAGTTGGCACAGCATCCACGGCAGCTTCGGAACACCCGAGTACCTGGGGGTGGGGGAGCAGAGGGGAGGCAGAAGGGGAGCTGGCCGCCTCCAGCCGGAGTGGCTGCCGAGAATGCCTCTGCCTCAGGCACGTGGTCTGCAGTGGGGGCAGCTCTTATTTCCGCTGACCCTTGTCCCGCAGAAGCCAGCATGGGGTGGGGTGGAGGGGTTCAGCGGGGACTTGTGGGGCTTGCCAGGGAAGAGAACAAGTGCTGTGCAGGCTGTAGGCTCCGCCCCTGCTTTTCCCGGCACCTCAGTGGGGCTGGGAAACCCTTAAGGGAAGAGGGACGTTGCTTCCCCCTCCCCGGCACCCTCACCCAGGGCCTTTGCAGGCTGGGGGTCCCCCTGCCCCTTCTCTGTGTTGATTCCTGTGTTCCCCAGGCCTGGCTCTGAAGGGTGGACTGTCCCAGCAAGGCCTGAAGCCCTCCCTTAAAGTGGAGCCACAGAACCACTTCAGCTCCTTCAAGTACAGCGGCAACGCAGTGGTGGAGAGCTACTCGGTGCTGGGCAACTGCCGGCCTTCCGACCCGTACAGCATGAACAGCGTGTACTCCTACCACTCCTACTATGCACAGCCCAGCCTGACCTCCGTCAACGGCTTCCACTCCAAGTACGCTCTTCCATCATTCGGCTACTATGGCTTTCCATCCAGCAACCCTGTCTTCCCCTCGCAGTTCCTGGGTCCTAGCACCTGGGGACACAGTGGCAGCAGCAGCAGTTTTGAGAAGAAGCCAGACCTCCATGCTCTGCACAGCAGCCTGAGCCCGGCCTACGGTGGTGCTGAGTTTGCCGAGCTGCCTGGCCAGGCTGTTCCCACGGACACCCACCACCCCACTCCTCACCACCAGCAGCCTGCTTATCCAGGCCCCAAGGAGTATCTGCTTCCCAAGGCTCCCCAGATCCACCCAGCATCCAGGGACCCCTCTCCCTTTGCACAGAGTTCCAACTGCTACAACAGATCCATCAAGCAAGAGCCAGTAGACCCACTGGTCCAGGCCGAATCTCTACCCAGAGACCCTGGTAAGATGAACAAAACACCTTTGCCGGAGGCTTCTCAGAATGGGGGACCCAATCACCTATGGGGACAGTACTCAGGAGGCCCAAGCATGTCCCCCAAAAGGACTAACAGTGTGGGTGGCAGCTGGGGTGTCTTCCATCCTGGGGAGAGCCCTGCCATCATCCCCGACAAGCTCAGTTCTTTCGGGGCCGGCTGCCTGACCCCTTCCCACTTCCCAGATGGCCAGTGGGGGTTGTTCCCTGGCGAGGGGCAGCAGCCAGCCCCCCAGCCTGGAGGACGGCTCCGAGGCAAACCGTGGAGCCCCTGCAAGTTTGGGAACAACACCTCAGCCTTGGCCGGGCCCAGCCTGACTGAGAAGCCTTGGGGGGTTGGGGCCGGGGATTTCAGCTCTGCCCTGAAAGGCGGTTCTGGGTTCCAAGACAAGTTGTGGAGCCCCCTGAAGGGAGAGGAGGGAAGGATTCCAACCCCGGGGGCGAGCCAGCTGGACAAAGCCTGGCAGTCCTTTGGCATGCCCCTGGGCTCCAGCGAGAAGTTGTTCGGGTCCCTGAAGTCCGAGGAGAAGCTGTGGGATCCCTTTAGCCTGGAGGAGGGGGCTGCTGAGGACCCCCCTAATAAGGGGGTGGTGAAGGAGGAGAAGAACGGTGGGGCTGAGGAGGAGGAGGAGCTGTGGTCTGACAGCGAACACAACTTCCTGGACGAGAACATCGGCGGTGTGGCCGTGGCCCCTGCTCACGGCTCCATCCTCATCGAGTGTGCCCGGCGGGAGCTGCATGCCACCACGCCCCTCAAGAAACCCAACCGCTGCCACCCCACCCGCATCTCGCTGGTCTTCTACCAGCACAAGAACCTCAACCAGCCCAATCATGGGCTAGCCCTCTGGGAGGCCAAGATGAAGCAGCTGGCGGAGAGGGCCCGGGCACGGCAGGAGGAGGCCGCCCGACTGGGCCTGGGCCAGCAGGAGGCCAAGCTCTATGGGAAGAAGCGCAAATGGGGGGGCGCCATGGTTGCCGAGCCTCAGCATAAGGAGAAGAAGGGGACCGTCCCCACCCGGCAGGCGCTGGCCGTGCCCACAGACTCAGCAGTCACCGTGTCCTCCTACGCCTACACGAAGGTCACTGGGCCCTACAGCCGCTGGATCTAGGTGCCTGGGTGCCAGGGAGCCAGCGTACCTCAGCGTCGGGCCCGGCCCGAGCTGCCTCTGTGGTGCTTTTGCCCTCACACCTGGGGGCGGGTTGGGGGTGCAGAAGTCTTTTTATCTATATATACATATATAGATATGCATATATATGTATTTATGGTCCAAACCTCAGAACTGACCCGCCCCTCCCTTCCCCCCACTTCCCCAGCACTTTGAAGAAGAAACTACGGCTGTCGGGTGATTTTTTTCGTGATCTTAATATTTATATCTCCACGTTGGTTTCCCCCCCCTTGTTTGGGGGGGGTGGCTTTTATTTCCTCTTGTTTTTAAAACTCTATCCTTGTATATCACAATAATGGAAAGAAAGTTTATAGTGTCCTTTCACAAAGGAGTAGTTTTAAATTCCATTTAAAATGTGTATTTATTGGATTTTTTAAAAAGCGACAATAGTAATGGTAAAGGATCGGCAGGAAAGGCCAAAAGCGCTCCTTCCTGCCCAGTCTTGATGGGCCCAGCGAGCCTGGCCCTCTTGGGAGCTGACAAGGTTCTCTCAGCCATCTGCCCCTCTTGAGCCAAGTACAGATTGTAGCCACCCGGTCCATCCCTCCTGACAGATATGCCTTCCCTTCAGGGGAGGGATCCCTTGGGACAGCTTCTGTCCTCTCCAGTCGGATGGGAGAATCTGTAGAATAACATCTGGGGTCCCTTTTCCAGTCACCGGCTTGGCGTCGGGGACCAGGCAGGGGGCAGGTGCACCCCAGGCCAGGTACCTGAGATGCTGGTGTAGATTTCCCCAGAAACCAGGTTGGAAGTAGACAGCTTCAAGCTTGCTGGTCTCCACACTGAATCCTCTGTTATTTATCAAGTCACATGATGTCATGGTTCCCTAGGCAGCACCTCCTGATGGAGCTGGAGTTGAGAGGCTCTTAGGAGCCCATTTCCACCGGGGTTGACAAGCCAATGAATACTGGGCTGAAGGAATTTGTCATAGTGGCAGTTTTTTAAAAATGCCCCAAAGTCTGTGCTGATACTGAAAAAGGGCTACTGTATCTCTAAAAACAAGAAGTTGAACCCAAGCTGTGAAAAGCCAGCGTTGTGCCGTCGTTCTGTGCACAGTGCTGTGTAGAGCCTGGTGCTGTAGTCGTGTGCTGGGACTTGCTTGATCCTTCGGCAGGTCGGCACACCAGTGTAACAGCAGTTAACGCATCTCTATTCCTGGATTTCCATGTTGGACAATGGTGCAGGCCTCACACACAAGCCCACCCCCTCCGTGCTATCAGTGGTCGGGATGGGCTGACACTGATCAATTTTAAAATGCAGGAGTCAGACGTTTTCAGCAGGTAGCTATGATTTTCCGAATTGGTGCCATTTCTCCATTTGATCATTTTCTCCTTTCCTTCCTTCCCTCTCCATCCACTTTAACTCGCCTGTTCTGAAATTCTGGTGCATTCGTTCAGTTCTTTGAAATGAGAATGTGGTGCTTAATTTTTGCAACTTTGTTGAGAGAGGCTGGGCCTAACTGGCAGAAGCAACCTTTGTGGACAGCAAGTCAGACTTCCCGGAGTGTTTGTTTTTCCTGTGGTATTAGCAGAATCTCTATCAAGCTACCCATGTGGATGTGTGTGGTGAACAGGGGGCTTCATCATGACACACGGCGGGGGTTGGGGGGGATCATGGCCACACAGTGAAATGACACCAAGCCCTGAGATAAATGTCAGATATTTATTGAGCAGTTTTTTTTTTTTTCAGATGTGGGTCTTTGTAAAACAAGTTTAACAATCAGATGACGATGCTAAAGGCAAGTCCCTGAGCTTCCAGGTGCCTTGTATAAGAGCTGAGAGCCCACCCGCTGGCCGCTCGCTGTAACTGTTCAGAAGCACCGGCGGAGAGTCGCTGGAAGATGTCCTGAGCATTTATGTGGTCTGGTTTTAACTGTAAATAGTGAAAGATTTTTTTAAGCACTTTTGCCTAGATTTAAACAGCAACTTGAAAAAAAAAGTATGTTTTAACACGTAATTGTGGGAGAAATTGTAAATAGTAGCTGAATATTTAACGTGCTTTGTCTATCCTTCACTTTTACCATATTCTGTAAAGTTGCATTTATTTTACAGGACAAAAATGAAATATTATTGCTTTTGAAATAAATACCCAAGAGCTTATCAGGATTTAGAATTATTCAGAACTCAGATTTATAGGAAAACCTCTGACCTTCAGTGTGACAAGCTAAAGGAAGCAGAGTCTTTAATAAGCATGCTAATTTTCTAGTTTTGAGGAAAAGTTGGGTCCTTTAAATGCTATTTTGCTTATCGCATCCGTACTTTTATGCAGGTCTCATTTGACTCCGTGCTTAGGTAGATGCGGGGGTGCCTTGAAAACTTCATTTTAAATGATCTTAAGCAAGAAATACAATATTTTACGAAACATTTGGAGAATGTGACCGTCTGTATGACCCGGGAAAGCCCCAGGTTGGCTGTTGGTTTGGAAGGTCCCGAGTGTAACCCAGGTGATTCTGATCCTTGGCATGTGTGAATCTTCCTGATGTATGTTAAATATACTCTTCCCCTCGTCACCCTTTGATAGCAAAGCCATTAGATGAAAGGAGAAACCAATACAAGCTAAAAGCATGTGATGTCTGTCCCCGCAGCCCCAACAGCCTTTGGTTCGTAAATTCCTAGACTAGCAAACAGGCTGCTGAGAGGTGAGTCAAGAGGCAGTCTCCATTGGATGTTCCCATTCCCCTCAGAATGGTGTTTCAGAAATTAGGTGGTGCTGTGGCTATGCTCGAGCCCATGCTGATTTTTACACACTACATGTATAACCTACCTCAAATCTCAGTCATTAAAATTAGCATGCTTTAGACGTATATTTAAAAAGTAACTATGCACAGCTCTTTATCGCCCCCCTTGCTGCTGAAGGTTTCTTAAAGAGAAAAATCAAATTTTTATTTTTTACTGGCACTATCATTTTTTAAGTCCTAAAGATGATTAACAGACGTTTTTATCATGAGAAGAAAAATAAAGCCATTGCAACTAAAGAACCTAACAGCATGACCAAGGTTTAGAGTTACTATTCTAGCAATGAGAAATGATGGAGTCCCCCAGTCATCTCCCCAGTGTGCCCTGTCCAGATTCCATCCACATGCAGTGCGACTGTTTGGTTCCTCTTTGGTTTTGTCTCCCCTGCCTTTTGCATGCAAGGGAAGTGCTTGCAACATTCTGTGCTAAGAGATTTTTAAAATAAAAATCGCTTTGCGGCAGGTTCTCACAAAAATAACTGGTGCTAGCTCAAGAAACCGTTATCTAACCATCAGAGATCTTGACTCAAGTTGTTTCATGGATTTTTGAGGTTTTGTTGTTTGTGTTGTCGTAGTTTGTTTCTTGGCAGGGCCTGAGTTTCCCACACGCTGGCTTCGTGGGCCTGGCTTGCCCTCTCACCGAGGTGACCGTGGTGTGCACGGAAAGAGATCATACCCTGGCCCCCGTTCGTCCTTCCACCAGTCTCTTTTGGACACGGGAGTTTGCAGAGCAAGGGATTTTTAAAGTGCGAAAGTGCGGAAAGAAGTAGCAGAGCCTGTAAGTGCTTTGTACCGAATAGCGGTCGATGCGTGAGGATGGTTGTTAATCAGTAGGATGGTAACCTGATTTCATGGAGAGAAAGCCAGCCAGACTTTGTAACATTGAACCACCGCCCGTTCTCAAACCAAGGCAATGCTGGTGGAAAATTTAAGCAATGTCCCTGACGTGCCTCAACCAATCTCTTTCGTTTTGTTACTGAAGTGTGTTTTATGGATTAGGAAGCATTTTTATGAATTGACATAGTCTAAATAAAATGGTGCTATGGTGTTTTAATGTGACTGTCCCTGATCCTGTCCTGCTGAGGTGCTATCAAGGTTCTGAAACCACAACCAACCAAAAACAAGGTGGGCTCCAGTCTCTCTTGGCTTCCCCCCCCCCCTTTTGGTGCTGTCTCCTTAGACCTCTGTTTATCGTGCTAAAACCTGCTCTGAGCAGTTTTTCTGTTTTGTTTTATTACTCTTCCCTTGGTGGCCAAAAACTGAAAGGCAAGTCCCGAAGGCAGCCAGCTCCCTAACTGTGCGGGAAGTGGGCCTTCCTGGCTTGGCAGGTGCTCTGGTTACACAGCTGTCCTCTCAGGCCTGATGAGAAAGGAAGGGTGAGAGCCTCCCCCATCCCCACCATCTTTGAGGAAGGGGAGCCTGGGACTCCTGCCTCTTCTGAAATGGCAGGCATTCTCATAGCCAAGGACACACATCTTCCAGCTGCAGGGTGCCAGGCGGACACCACTGAGGGTCTCCAAGGCACTCGCCTACCGAGTGGACCTCCTCCTTCCCCTGGCGCTGGCCCTGCCGTGGGGGGCAGTGGGCTCGGTCCTTTGCTCTCCACAGCCCCTGCCCTGCTTCTGCCTGTCACTGGTGATGCCTCATATTCAAACTAAAGGAAGGAGATTTCTTTGCTCACTTGACGCCACTGAGGCTGCTTTTTAGTTGGTGCTATTCTAAATTTCCTCTCGGGTCCACAAAAGTTGACGTTTTGAAAACAGGAAGCTCCATTTTGTGTCATCCACTGTCACAATAATTTTTTTAAATACCTCAAAAACAGGACATTGTGACAACTTCAGTAAAGTAGATTCCTTGAGGGTCTGATACCTGCAGGTTGTCCATCTGATGACTTACTTGACCTTGAAGAATCTGGGGTCATTTTATTTTTCATTCTTCAGCAGTTAAATGGCAGAACATCTAAAGGAAGGAGTGGGGTTGACTTATTGCATTCTCTTTAAGTTTTGCTTTTGAATAAAATGTGAATCTCCTATGCCCATCTCATTGAGCTTTTTCAGGCATTGTTGTTGTCATTTGAAATGACTTCCTCAAAACCTACTTTATTAGCCAGCCGCATCTGCTGTAGGACATGGCCAACTTCGACATACCCTGGACCAAAATTGTTTATGAGGTGCATATCCCAGCATAGGTCCTGCAGCCCCACACCCACGTGTGCGTAGAGTGTTTCCACGTGAGACCCTGTCCTGGCGCTCCCAGCCCTTCCTCCCGCAGAGCTGCCAACAAGAGCAGAGCAATAGGCTTCTCCCCTGCGCAGAGGCTGCTGCACAGAAATGCAAGGTCTAAAGTTGCTTTTTGCCTAAGAATCAGTGAGCGATTTGGCCTACTTCCTCATTTGCTTCTATTCTGATATCAGGGATGCTTTTTGTAGTGGTATCATTTGCGCTCTTTTCTCATTTTGACTACCCGTCGTCATTCAGGGATAACTCATCACTATTCACATGGGGATTTAAAAAATACTATTTGGCTCCTTTGAACGTCCAAATTTTCTGGATTCCAGTGCTTTTTGGTTTTTTTGGGGGTTTTTTTGAGGGGAAAAAGGAGGAGAAAAACAGGAGTAATGTCATTTCTTTTTCACATCTTCTAATTATAAAAACAAATAAGGGCAGGTCATAATTGTGGCATATTAATGCATTAGACTTAATCTAGAACCCCTGTAGCTTTTTGATGTGTTTTATTTCTTCTCTCTTTGAATTCCTGTTTGGTTACTTGGCTTCCAATGGAGGTGAACTTAACAACCATACTTGAATATTCCGTCTTGACTTTGTAACTGTGGCTACTTGAAATGAAGTTTATCTGGGGTTGATGGATGAATGGTAGATTTTTGCAATGTCTCAAGGCAATAGGATGTGTATTATTAAACTGTAGATATTCTTAGTACAGTAAATTTATGCTGATAATTTTATTTTGTATAATTTTTACCTTTCTGTTAATATTTTTTCCTCCCACTTTATTGGTTTGCCTCCTGAGCTACCCCTCCTTACCCTCCCTTCTCCCCCAGTGTTTCAGTAAATTTAATTTAGGGTGCCTAGAAATTGCAAGTATGTATCCTTTTTTGATTTGTATTTTATTATAATTTACACAAACAACTGGGTTTGTGAACTGTATTACTCCTGGTATCTTTAAAATATTGTGGGTGTTTTAATAAATTTTATATTTATTTTTTGCACTCAAATTCAGAGTGGGTCCTTTTTTCCCTTACCTCAAACCAGGCGCAGGTTGTGGTATTGATGCACCCTATAATCTCACCCTCCCACTAGGTTGTAGATGCACCACACTAATAGGGCCTGTCCTGTCTCCTCCTGCCATCTGCATGGTGTGCAAAGGCCATGTGCTTTTAGAGCTGCTAGAAAGGGGCAAAATAGAGATGGCCTTTTTCTCATCTGTGGTTGTTTCCCCCTCACACTGATATAAATTGTTCACTTCTGATGTAATATTTGCTAAAGGGTAGCTGAATATTACTTCATTCTGATGGCCCTGAGCACCAGGTCTAGTAGAGAGGACCAAATATGGCTGTCCTTGGGAAGAAGAGCATTCACATGAGGTGCCACACCTGGAACTACCTCTTTTAATTCAGATTGCCAGTCCTGCTGCTACAAAAGTGGTTCTAAGAGGTAAGTCGATGGCAATACAGGCCTACCTCAAGAAGCCAAAAAAATCTCAAACAACCGAACCTCACACCTAAAGGAGCTAGAAAAAGAATAATAAAACTGAAAACCAGCTGAAGGAAGAAAATAATATACAAACTAAAAAAAAACAGTGGAACAGATCATTGAAACCAGGAGCTGGTTCTTTGAAAAGATGAACAAAATTGATAAACCTCTAGCCAGACTCATTAAAAAAAAAATAATAATAAAATCACTAATGAAAGTGGAAAAATAACACTACCACAGAAATACAAACTTAGGAAAACCTATATGCCAACAATTTGGACAACTTAAAAGAACTGGATAAATTCCTAGAAACATGTAACCTACCAAAACTAAAGAAGAAATAGAAAATTTGAAAAGAGCAATTACCAGCAATGAAATTGAATTAGTAATCAAAAAAACTCCCAACATACAAAAGTCCAAGGCAAGATGGTTTCATGGGAAAAGTCTACCAAACATTTAAAGAGTTGGTATCAATTCTTCTCAAACTATACCAAAAATACAAGAGGAAGGAAAACCCAAATTCATTCTGTGAGGCTAGTATCATCCCGATACCAACACTAAATAGACACCACACACATAAAAAAGAGAACAGACCAGTATCTCATGAATACAGATGTAAAAATCCTTGCCAAATATTAGCAAAACAAACCCAACAATATATTTAAAGAGTTCCACACCAAGATCAAGTGGGATTTATTCCCAGGATGCAAGGGTGGTTCAACATTTGCAAAACAATGAACTTGATATGTCAACAAGAGAAAGAATAAAAACCCTATGATCATTTCAATTGATGGAGAAAAAGCATTTGACAGTGTACATCATTCATCCAAACCCTCTGCAAAGCAGGTTCTAAAAGGAACATACAGGCCATATATGAAGAGCCCACAGCTTTCCCTGCTAAGGTTGGGAAGAAGACAAGGATGTCCACTCTCACCACTTTTATTCAACATAGTACTAGAAGTCCTAACCACAACAATTAGACAACATTAAGAAATAAAAGGCGTCCAAAAGGTTAAGGAAGAAGTAAAATCCTCACCGTTGGTAGATGACCTGATTCAGTGTATAGAAAACCCTAAAGACTCCACCAAAAAACCAGTAGAACTGATCAGTGAATTCAGTAAAGCCACAGGATACAAAACCAATTGCATGGAAGTGCAAAAGACCTGGAATAGCTGAAGCAATCTTGAAAAACAAAACTGGAGGTGTCACAATCCCAGATTTCAAGTTATGTCACAAAGCTGAAGTAATTACTGGCATAAAAATAGACACATAGGTCAATACAATAGAAAACCCAGCTATAAACCCACATTATACAGTCCATTAACCTTCAAGAGAAGAGGCAAAATATGCAATGAGGAAAAAGTCCGTCTCTTCAACAAATGGTATTGGGAAAACTGGACAGCTACATCCAAAAGAATGAAACAGGACTACTTTCTTACATCATACACAAAAAATAAACTCAAGATAGATTAAAAACCTAAATGTGAGGTCTGAAACAAAACTCCTACAAGAAAGCACAGGTAGTAATTTCTGATATCAACTGTAGCAACATGTTCCTAGAGGTGTCTCTTGAGACAAGGGAAATAAAGGCAAAAATAAACTACTGGGATTACATCAAAATAAAAAGCTTCTGCACAGTGAAGGAAGCAATCAACAAAACTAAAAGGCAACCAATGGAATGAAAGAAGATATTTGCAAATGACATTCTATAAGGGGTTAGTATCCAAACTGTATAAAGAACTGATACAACTCAACACACACACACACACACACACAATCCAATTAAAAATTTCAGAAGACATAAACAGACATTTGTCCAAAGAAGACCTACAGATGGCCAACAGACACCATGAAAGGATGCTCAACATCACTGTTAATCAGAGAAATGCAAATCAAAACCACAATGAGATGTCACATCACACCTGTCAGAATGGCTAAAATCAAGAAGAAACAGTAAGTGTTGACAAGGTTGTGAATAGAAAGGAGTCCTTGTACACTGTCTGTTGAAATGCAAACTGGTGCAGCCTCGGTATTTACCCAAGGAATACAAAAACAGTAATTTGAAAGGATATATGCACGCTACGTTTATTGCAGCATTTTTAAATAGCCAAATTATGGAAATAGCCTGTGTCCATCTACTGATGAGTGGATAAAGAAGAGGTGGTATGGTACGTACACACACACAATGGAACATTACTCAGCCATAGAAAAGAATGAAATCTTACCATTTGCAACAACATGGATGGAGCTAGAGAGTAGAATGCTAAGGGAAATAAGAGAAAGATAAATACCATATGATTTCACTCATATGTGGAATTTAAGAAAAGAAGCAAACAAACCAGCAAATGAAAAAAGACAAACCAAGAAACAGACTTTTCATTATAGAGAACAGATTGATGATTACTAAAAGGCACTTATGATGACAAGGGATAGACAATCCTGGTGGTGGCTGATCTGTGAAAAAGGGCAAACAGAATTGAAAGGAAAAGGGTCAATGGAAGAGAGTCCCCTTCTGCTTGAAACATGAAACTGAGGAGGGGAGGGGCAAGATGGCGGAAAAGTAGGGAGCTCCGTACCTGCACTCGCGCCCAGGCATCACACGGAAAAGGTCTGAAGCCATAGGAAACCGTAACACACCCAAGAGATTGGGAGAGAAAGGACGCAGATTCCACTGAGAAAGACTTCTAAGCTGAGTGCGAACCGGGGAAGTAAAAATCGGGCCTGGATTGGAGACTGGAGAGACGGACCACCCCCTCTGTGGGGAGTGAGCGGAAAAAGAGAGTCCGAAACAGAAAAACCTCCGCTCAGGGGAAAAACCTCCGCTCGGGGTGTAGAAAATCTTTGCGCACAAAATACCTGCACGTCAGGCCCCTCCACGATCCAAGTCGCCCAGGAGGGGCTGCGCACCGATTTGCTTCTTTGTGCTGGCTCCTGGCTGGCGGGGAGAGGCTGCGCGCCTGCAGCCATTATCCTTGAGGCGGGCCTGGACCCCTGAGGAGGCGCGCAGGCACCTGCGTCCGTGCTCCTAGCTGGCTGGAGCTCTAGAGGGTAGGCAAGGCGCTGAAAGCCGGCAGATGTGACCTCGAGTTCGTGTTTTGGGTGATTGAGACACAGAGGGAACTTGATTTCCTCACCCCATCGGGCTCAGCGCACTGGCAGACAAAGCCCCCCACCCCGCCCAGGCCCCCCAGCCCCACCCGGAGGAGAAAGGAGCAGAGACTTCTGGCTCCGCCCCCAGAGCTAGCCTGGCAGATTGGAATCGCCCTGAGGGGAAAGCCAGGGGATCGCCTGCGGCAATTTCAGCGGGTGCTTGGCCTAGGATTTGGAGGCTGGGACTGGCCTGGGTTGAAAAGCGCAACAAACTTTGACTGAGGCCCTGGCTCAGGAAGTTTACACGCCTATAAAAGTGAGGTGGAGCGCTGCCACTCTTCTCCCTACAACCTCCAGGCAAAACTCCCGCCTGACTCATTGGATCACACCACTGCCCATCCCTGCTTGAGAGCTGCCCTCCTCCCATTCCCTTTTTTTCTTTTGTGTGTGTGTGTGTTGTTTTTGTTTTTTGGGGGTTTTGTTGTTTGGTTTTGGGTTGTTTTTTTTCTTTTCTTTTTTTCCGCAGAACACTGACCTGATTACCTCTGGTCACCGGCGTACTTAAACAATCAAATTTAGTCCATTCTGTAGATGTAAATTCTACACCTCCTGACCTTTTCATCTCTTTCTCTCAGGAGTAATTAGTCTATATAGTTTCTCTGGATAATACCAGCATTCTTCTCTCACCTATCTAAACATATTCTACCCTTTACCTCTTTGAAAAAAGCTTCGTATCCCTTCTGCCTGTTCATTCTATTTCCAATTATGCCTCATCCCACCCGGTCTTCTCTCTCCTTCTTTATGCTCTTCAACCAGCACTGCATACACATGGCTATTTAACTGTAGCTGGGAAATCCGGTTATATGCTTTAAACCATTCTTTGTCCATTGGTTTTCTTCTTTTTTCCTTTCCTTTTCTCCTTTTTGACCCTTTTATGTATTTTATACTCCCTATTATTCGCCTTCCCTCCTCCGTCTTTTCTCTTAACTTTTTCGTTTTCCCTCTCGCTTTGCATGTTAGTTGAATTAGCCTGTGCGTTTGTGTGCTCCTGCTCCCTGTGTGTTTGTCTGTCTGTTTTCTTTTCCAGGGCTACCTCAAGAAACAAGCCAGAGTACACAAGGTGGAGAGTCCCAAATATCACTCTGAATAGGAAAATAAAATAACCAAGGTCCCAACAAGAGAGACCAAGGGATACCATTCAAAAAACACTCTCTGAAAGGATAGGCCCTGGAAAGTCAAAGAGTCTTCTTGGATATAGCAGCGCTCATAGAAACAGAGAGCATAACAGGTCTTTAAAACCAACAAGAGCCGGAAAGCTAACTAAAATGACGAAACGAAAGAGCTCTCCTCCAAAGAAACTCCAAGAAGAAATGACAGCTAATGAACTGCTCAAAACAGATATCAGCAGCATCACTGAACAAGATTTTAGAAT